CACACACACACACACACACACACACACACACACACACACACACACACACACACACAACCTCCTGAACGCTGAATGTGAAAACCTTGCTCTTCCTGTTTGCAGGATAAAAATAATAAAGGATCAGTTGAAGGCAAGAAGGATAAACTCATTTGTCCAATTAATCCAGAGATGGAGCTGCAGAGGAGGATGGTCGCAGAACAGGTATTTATTTCTGTATTTGTGGGAGACGTCATCTACAAATGAACACAAGATGAATCCAGCTGCCAAAAAAAAAAAAAAAAAAAACATAAAAAGAACTCAAACCTCCTGCCAGGTTTGCCAATAACATCAATTCTGTCTTGTTCAGAGCCACATACTGGGCAGATTTTTAATTTGCGGAAGAAGGTTTATTACTCACTATAATATTCATACAGACAAAAGTCCATTTAAAATCTTAATTTTTGCTGAATGTAGCTGAAGAGCTTGTTTAAGGAGCGAGAAGATAAAAACCCACCAGCAGCAGCTAAAGACTGGACTCCACCAGCTGTAAGGGTGAGAGAAAAAACAAACAAACAAACAAACAAAAAAACAAGAATCCTATCACATTTAACTAAAGCTAAATAAAACTACATCAATTTTGCAAATATATATATATTTTAAACTCAATCCCGTTACTTTCTTTTCCAGGCAGGAGGTGACAGAAGGAGCTGGCAGCAGGGCTCAGGACTGATGCCAGTGTTTGAGGAGGATGAGGAAGACTGCGACTCACCAGAGGAGGAGGAAGATGCAGCAGAAGACAGTCAGGCTGAGGTCAAACCCTGCGGTCAGAGACAATCCACCAGTTTATAAATGCTTACATTACAGAAAGTCCATCCCAATGAAAAGTTGAATTATTTTGTGTTTTTAACAGATTCAGATTAAATGATCAAATGAAGAGAACTTTCCCCTACATGTTCACAGAAGAGCACACAGCCCTAATCCAAGTTTCTGCTTTAAATAAACAACATAACTCTGTGAAACGCAGTTTGTCCTCCAGCCATAATCTGAAACATGAGCTATTAAATAATCAGATGTGAAGCTGAGAATGAGATTGAAGCTCTGTGATTAAAACGGGAGAATTTTAATCAGAACTTTTCCTAGAATTGTCTTCAATCATCATTTTAAATTCTCTAAAATGTCTCACAATATTCCAGTTAACACAACCTCTGAATCTGTGGTGACTGACTCCACTTTATGTCTATTGTCTGAAGCTGAACAAATCCAGAAGAACTGGTCTGAAATGGAGACACAATTTGAAGTGACTTGTGGAATGTTTTGTGCCAGAATGCAGACAGACACAAGG